TAATGAAATATCTTTTTTGTCTCACACTAAATGAAAAAGTCTTATTTAATGATTTTTCTCCTTATTTCTATTTTCATTCAATAATTTTCTTTGTCTCCAGTTGCTTTCTCATTTATTTATATACATATATTACGATGTTTGTGAAATGTAACAAGTGATGCTAATCTTATCACGGTGATATCAATTTGTTTAAAAATAAAAAAGATTATTTTTTTATTTCTATGCTAATTTCAAATTTCAATTTAACCATTTATCATGTCTAAACTTATAAAAACACGGAGCATTGCTTAATTCTGACAATTTAATCATTGCTCACAAATTTCGTGACATCTAGAGTAAGTCTAATTGAAGTGGAATGAAAGTAATTTGTTTTGTATATTTATACACAATAAGATATCTAATCCTTAGATATTAATTAAAATATCTCTTCTAAAGATAGTTGAACGACAACCATCATCTGTTAAATTATTAATAATACTAATTTTAAATATGTTTTATTTAAAAGTTAGTTGAGTTCATATCATTTATAATTAAATCTACTGTGTACTGCGCGGTAACTTTACTAACTAGGGTGGCTACAAAAGCCTTTAATGTGTTTACCTTCTGTTCTGTTCTGACGAATGTATGTGAAGAAGAAAAAGAGGAAATCACTGATTGTATCACAGTGGAGTATTTGGTAGCTTTTGTATGTATCACAGTGGAGTATTTGGTAGCTTTTGTATGGATGGTAGTAAAAAAAATTATAAAAAATAAATACAAGAACATGTACATCATCAAGAGATTACTTACTTCACCTTTTAAACTGAGTTGTGTTCAGTGTATTTCACTGTTTTTTTTTTCCTTTTCGAATTAAAAAAAGAAAAATTTCTTCTCAAAATATAATAGGTTGGCTTAATGCACTATCCCTTTCATTCATTTGTTGGATCATCCATTGGTTTGTGATTAAACCACTTATTTCTTCGCTAATCACGGGAGAGTCTTTCTTAACTCCCTAAAGTACTCAAAACTTGTCTCAAAATACTCATCAAAGAGTAAATCCTCTTGTTAAGGAATGCATATTACTCAATAAAATGGAGAGTAGAGTATCTTGTGGGCTATGAATGATGGCGCTGTTGTCATAGGAATATATAGGGAAAAGAGGAAAGGAAGAAAGTGAAAGGCTAACCCACCTAAGATTTGAACACAACTTAACTTTTTTGAAGTTTATATATTCTTTTCTATGTAAAGGAGAAGTAACTGCTCAAATTAGCAATAAAATATTTGATGACGCGTGGCCGAAGTTGTTCCTTTGATATCTGTCTTTTCTCTGCACATGCTATACAGACACAACAGTTAGTTTCATACTTTTTATTCAATAAATATACACTGTTGGGTCTTATTGAGGCGGAGTTATAATCTACGTTCGAGTCGTTGAGAATTGACAGAAACATATAACACACACGTGGAAATCCTTATTGAGAGAAACTCATGCTTATCTATCTGAAATTTGTAACCATGATTTTATTAATGTATACAACTGATGAAGTAGGGAAGTAGGTAAGTAATGGGTAGTTTAGGTCACTGGAAACCGAATTTTCTCTAAAGCTTGGGGCATAGTGGGACACTACTATACCAAAACCATTTCCGAAACGGTGCATCATCGGGTGTTGCCAAAAAGAAAATACGTAATGATGTGAGATTTATGCAAAAGTGTATATCAGATGTGGAGAGCAATGGTATATGCTTTGGAAGATGCTAAAATAAGAATCTTCATTTCTCCCTTTTTCTGTTTTTTTTTATGTTCCTCACACACTATACATAACTCACATCACACACAACACAATCATATAACGCCAATCCAACACTCCTTCTCGAATCCTCTCCAACCTGCACCCCACATCGATTGAACCTCACTGCTTCTCTGAGGCATGGAGGTGTTGCAGATGCATAGATGGGGGGTAATTAGTGGTTATCCTCCATTTTTGTCAATGTTTCCTTTTGATTCGATCATGGTGGAGCAAGAATGTTTAACAAGTTGAAAGATTACTGGGAATGAAGCGTCCTTCTTAAGGGCGATTCTCTCTCTTGTAAAGGGCAACTTCCATCCTTTGGCATTTTCCTATTCCTCGAACTCACTCACTCACTTCACTTTGTGTGAATCAAGTTCTCGAATAATATCCCTACTATGTTATGTACCTGCTATTGTACTCTTTTCTGCTACTTTATGCTTCAATTCTAACTGCATTTTATATGTACCAACATATATGATATGATGCGCCTACTCTATATATAGTAGGCAACCAATAAATGTTTGATGTTCAGAGAACTCTTGTCATGTTGTTGCTGAGTTCATGTGGGTGTGTTTCTATGATTTTGTTATTGCTCTTCTTATATAATGACAAAAAATTGATCTTTATTCATAGCAGTACTCTAGAATTAGAGATAATGTTATCTAGTATGGTAAACGTGTTTTGCAACCTCCCAGGAAATAAGGTAAAAATACCAGTTTCAAACGTGTATCTTTTTTTTTTGGTTTATCAGTGTTCAGGTCTCTCTAGTTTCATTATTTGTTCAGACAAATAATTTCTCAACTTCTCTTACAGATACTTGTGTTTTGTATTATATTTTCAATCTGTTTTTTCTATTTTTTTCATAAATATTTAGTAACTCTCTTAACTGCCTGTTAAAGAAAAAACCCTTCTTACTTTTATTATTTTCCAAAACCCCACACTCCAACATTACCTGTAATAATGAAAATTAGTTCCTAATTTAAGCAAATTTATCTAATTCAATTTATAAAAAAATATGACAAATTATCTAACACATTCTATTTAAAAATAGATAGTAAAACGGGTCATCGCGTCTCGTTTTGACCTATTATATCTTTAATCTACAAAAAATGGGTCAAGACTAGTTGACTCATTGTAGATACATGAATGATAAATTTTGTTCTGTCATAATTTATTTAAAAAATTATTTATTTATTTTTAATCAAAATTTTCAATAAATTTAATAAAAAGATTATAATTTGTTTGTCAATAATATAATATATATATTTTAAGTTAAATCAAGGTATTATTTTAAGAAATTATAATTAAAACAATGACAAAATTTATATAATAATAAATATATATAAATAACATTAAAACTTATATTTTTTATATTGAAAATTTTAAATACGTAACACGAAAGTTATATTATATATTTTTTATTTGATAAAATTTCACGTTATTTCCTCGTTGAATAATTTTCACACCTTCAATTCAAATCATAAGGATAAGAATACTGAGATGAACGAACAAAGAAAAGATAACAAATAACAAGCACAAAAAAGAGAGAAATTTATGTTTGAGTAAAAAAAATGTTTCCTATACTGAGTGAGAAACAATATTTTTTAATTCTTTTTTACAAATTTTTATCATATATATTATTTTTATGAATAACTTATTATAATAAAAATACTTTTTTTATTAGTTAGCATATCGCGGGCTAACTTGTTCTGTACTACAGGCTAATATGACAGACTTGCATGATGTAGGTCAGAACGGGATGAAAATATCCATTTATCCCACTATATATATTTATAGTAGATAGACGGATCGATTCATTAGACTTAACTCATTTTATCATTCATAATTAAAGATTTATATTATAATTATTCTATAATCTTATATTTACTTATAATATTTATAAATCTTTAAAAAATTCCTTATAAAATTGTAATTTATATTAGTATTTATAATTTTGTTTTTAAATTTAGGAACTAATTTGGTAAAAAAATAAATACCAGTATACATGCATTTAGTTCTTTCACTTTAGCATAACAATTAATAATACCATTACTCGCTTTTAAAAATATTTAAAAGAAATAATCTGGTTTTTCTAAAATAAATAAAATAGATTTAAACAAAATGTAGATTAAGTAACATTTGCGTGCTTCCTCTTTCTTCCGGAAAACTTAAACCAAATAAAGTAAGTACGTTTCTTTTTGGTGATTGGAGAAGATAATTTAAATTAACAAAATATGCTTTTTAAAATTTAAGTAAGTGTTTTTATCTTTGTGCATGATTTTAAAACCATGTTAATTAAAACAACAGCTGATTAAAAAATAGTTTTAATGGCAATGCTTACGTAAGCTTATGAAATAACATATATAAATTATAATTTTTATATTTGAAAAATATTCGTTATTTTCTCACAAATTTTTTTTTCATTTTTTTCTTCAACAAGAGCTTTTTTATTTATTTTTCTTAATCTCTTATCTCTTTTCATTTTACCATTTTTAATTTTTTAACTTTGATTTAAATTTCATTTTTCTAGAAAAAGTTATTTATAATTAAAATGACATTTTATCAATTTGAAAAATTTATATCATAAATATATAATATAATGATATGTTAAAAAAAATTATTTATTATGAATTTTAATTATAACATAATTTATATATTTAAAAGTATTTATTTATTATAAAACCGAGTTTATATAAAGTAAATACTTATTTTGTTAGTCTATAGCTTAAAATGCAGAATAAATTATATTATAAATTAAAAGTATAATTTATATATTAAAAATATTTTTTATATAAATATTAATTTCATAAAAATAAATATTTATCTCGTGTTTTACCATTTTAAAATATTAGAAAATTTATAAAAAATTGTTCCTCTTTGTTTTGGCAAGGACCTAGGTCTGATTTTTGAAGTGATTGGGGGTATTTCCGTCAACTACGTGTTTAATTTTAATTTCATGAATTTGATTTACTGATCTGCCATTGGTTCCTTTCTTCAAACCTCATCTCCTATTACTGTGTATCTCTCTTCTTTCTCCTTCTCTTTCTCTGTTTGTATGCCACACTGAGTGAGTTGAAACCCACTGGCCCCTTTCTTCCACCTCCTTCCCTTTCTCTTCCAATCCAATAAAAATCAAGACGATTCTCATGCTCAATTATGCTCCTTTCATCAATTCAATTCTCCTCTCCTTCGCTTAGGAGTCATCTCAATTTCTAACAAATTTAACCGTCCATGGATGCCGTCGTCCAGCCGGAATTGGAATCCGCTACCGTTTTGACGGATCAGCCTCGGAACGTTTCGGTGGTGAACGGTTACATTGTTTACACTCGAGCCAAGAGGTCTCTCGATTCGTGTAACGGTTGTTTTGAACTCGAGGGGTTGAAAGCCGACGCAGAGATTACAGTTAAAACGGATAACAGAGAGTGTGAGGAGCTGAGGAACGAGTCCTCCGAGGTGGTGGTGAGGACGCGCAAGCGCTACCGTCGATTGGCGAAGGATGAGTGTTGTGATCAGAGTGTGGTGAGTGAGTCTGAAGAAGTTGCGAATGGAGGGAGTGGAATCAACTGTGCATTGGGAACTCCTAGGAACAAACTGGAGCTGAAAATGTCGAAGAAAATATTGGTCAACCGGAAGTCTATGACTGTGAAAGAGCTTTTCGATACAGGTTTTCTGGATGGAGTCTCGGTGGTTTACATGGGCGGCATTAAGAAGGTTCGTTTTGACTTGCTTGCATGAATGAAGGGGATAACATTATGGGAAAAATACTTAGAAAAGTATTTAAATTGTGGGAAATACTATAATTTATTTTAAATAGAATATAGACTGATTTTTTAGTGGGAAACAATAGAATGAATATAAAAATAGATATCAACTTGAATTTTAAAGAGAGTTTGATGATGGATATGTACCATATAATTGAATTTTGATATGACTCTTGAGAAGATAGTAAAAGAAATAGTCACAATGATTTTCGTTTATAATTGAATGATAATATATTTATTTTATATTTTCAATTCATAACTTATAGTGTCTTCTTTTAAACGAGACAATTTGTATGTTTCTCCACTGTGAAAGTTTTTACTGTCAATTAATTAAAATTAAATTAGATGAGATAATTTCTATGTACATGGAGTGTGAAAATTTATAATGTCGATTAATTTAAATTATATTAAATATGATTTTTGATGTGATTAAAATTAATAAACTTATCAGACAAATATTTTAAGATAGTCAGTGTATACGCTATTTTAGAGCCACATCTTATTACTATATATTTTTATAGATGTACTTGATTAATTTAGGATATATAGAAATAGTAATTGAGTCATTAGGAGAAATGTGACCATTTAATTGCCTTTTTATGACAAACACTTTTTGGAGTATTTGTCAGTGAGACATTTACCAATTTAGTCGTACAATGATGTTAGTTAAAAGTGGGAGACCAAAAATAGGCGCTCTGCTTTAAAATGAGTGTATAGTCCCCGTTATGATTAGTGATTGTTTGACATGATATTTGTTTTTATTATTATTATTATTATTATTACTATTATTAGGGTTCGGGATTACGAGGTGTGATTAGAGATGGAGGAATATTGTGTTCGTGCTGTCTTTGTAATGGACGCAGGGTGAGTTAGGCTTCTGTCTTTTCGTATCCATTCTGTCTTTTCTTACCCATTTGTTCTTTCGTACCCACTTGCACAGATGTTTATTTTGTTTCTTCTGGTGGTGATTAAGTAGGTTATTCCACCGTCCCAATTCGAGATCCATGCATGCAAACAGTACAGGAGAGCTGCACAGTATATTTGCCTGGAAAATGGGAAGAGCTTGCTTGATCTGTTGAGAACATGCAGGGTAGCTACCCTACAAACTTTCGAGGTGACAGTTCAAAATTTTGTTTGTTCTCCACCTGAAGAAAAATATTTTACATGTAAAAGGTGCAAAGGTGAGCTCTGCTTCTGCTATTTAAAATCATTTGGTTTTTGATGTCCAATTTATCATGCTGATCACAATTATATTTGCAAATCTTGGGGACAATCCTAAGATGTAGTTCATGGATAAGGGAGGGTAGGGTTAGGTTTAGGTTGAACTTTATTCAATCTATTATTCAATCAGTTAAAAATAGGTTGAGTTGGTTAAAATTGTGTGTGTGTATATATATATATATATATATATATATATATATATATATATATATATATATATATATATATATATTTTATATATTGGGATTAAACCAACTTAATCAATATGAATTGGGTTAATGGATAAAAAAATAAAAAAAAATATTTTATCTTCATGAACACATTTTAATATGACTTTCAAATTTTTATATTATATATATATATATATATATATATATATATATATATATATTGATTAAATAGTATATTGAAACAACTTAAATTAAAAAAAAAAAACTGATACAAAGGTGAAGGGTTGTGAGAAATGTTTGGGAGAAGGAAACTAAAACAAAAAAGAAAGCAAAGGATGTTTAGTATATTATATTGAATAAATACTTCATAGAATATATTATATTAATTATGGGTTGGACTAGGTTTTTGGTTAAATGCTAAAATCCATTATATTTAATAGACAATTGATTCTATTGAGTCTAACCAAACATTTAAAATAAAGTGTTTGAGTTTGGTTGAATCATTTGGATTTATGGCTACCCTACGTCTGAACACCGCAGACCATGCAATAGTGTTTTCTTTTAATTGAGTGGCTTAATGCTAGTGTTTTCTTTCTCGTAGGATGTTTTCCTTCTTCATTTGTGGAAAGAGTGGGGCCTATATGCCGTCCTTGTGTGGAATCAAGGAAGTCCGAGGAAAATTCAAATATCGTAGTTGGCAAAAGAGTTAGGTAGTCATTTCATCTATTTCAGGTGTTTGATGATCTTTATCACAATGAAATTATAGATACATAGAAGTGAATTATCTTAACCAGGTTAATAGAAAAGCGCAAAACATTTTTTTTTTCATTCTCATCCATAAATTTGGTTTGTTTTTTAGTTTTCCTTTTCAATTCCCTTGATTTCAGTTAAAACTGAATTTCTTAACCAGTAATCAGTACATATATGATTCCTGTATTCAGTATCTGAGTTTTTATCATTTTAGTCTATGCCACTAAGCACACATTTGTTTATGACTCGTGAACATACATTAACTGCTTTTGTACAAGAGAAGGTTTCAATATAAAGTTTGAACACAGTTATAATAACTCAATTCTGCCATTTATTTTACTAAGCTAGGGCTAGGAATGTAATCATATGAAATGACATAATGTGACAGTTGAATTGAAGTCAAGTAGGTTCAAAATGTTGAAACTTTAAGCCATGAGGAGGGTGCAATGACTTGTCTTTTATCCCTTACCCTCCTCCCTATCTAATTTTGTACTTCCTTTTATCATTTCAAAACAAAATTTCAGGTCCCCTAGGCCAGTGTTGCTCTCCAACCCACTCAGTACTTCTGATCTGTCCGTCTCTTCACAAATTAAGAGACCCAGCAAGAAAAGAACAAAGTTGGTATTCATATCTAATTCATCTATATATCTTACAAAAAAATTGCAGGTATTTTTCAAGTAACCAGTGGTTTATGTAGTTGCATGGTCTCAAACTTCATAGATTCCATGAGTTGACAATGTTTCTTTGATAATTTTTAAGTGTTCTTCTCTCTCTCTGAACTTAAACGCTGCCAACTTTGTTATTAAGGTCGTCAAAAAGGATGAGCCGTTCAAATATTTCCAAGAATGCTTCTGTGTCTGTTCTACCCCGGAAGAAAAATTTGTTGAAGATGGAAAAGAAGTTTGTATCTACCTTTATATTTTGCCACTCTTGCTGTAGTTAAGATAATGTGGTTGTTGTTTACAGGAAAATAATTTATTCCCGCTTAATTCTAATCAACTGTTATTACTAGGTCACTTTCTGTAAAGTTGAAGTCCCCAGAAAAAACTTCAAATTCGAAATTTAGTAAGAGTCAGTGGAAGATAACTAAGAAGTTAGTTCCCTACACCCCTTCATTTATATGTACTTATTTGGCTGTATTGTTTTATCACTCGTTGCTGATGATAATCATTTTGCTAATCAAACTTCTTCTCAAGGGATCAGCGATTGCATAAGTTAGTTTTTGAGGAAAACGGATTGCCTGATGGAACTGAAGTAGCTTATTATACACGTGGACAGGTTGTTTGTGTCTGTGCTTCGTGTACAGGTCATTCTATGTCTATTATCCTGTTAACCATTACATTTTGGTTGACAGAAATTGCTTGAAGGTTTCAAAATGGGCTCTGGAATTGTTTGTCGGTGCTGCAACACAGAGGTATTGCTCCTTACACTTGTATATTTGCAGGTATTCCTTAAGAATCTGCATTTATAATTTTCTTTCGATGTATTAAATGTTGTCCAGATCAGCCCCTCACAGTTTGAGGTCCATGCAGGATGGTCTTCTCGCAAGAAACCGTGAGTCTTTTTCTTCTTTGGGAATTGATGGGAGGGATATTAAACTGCTTTTTAAATATGCATATAGCTTTTTATTGAATTGCAATTATGTTCGCAGTTATGCATACATTTACACATCAAATGGGGTGTCTCTCCATGAATTAGCAATATCTCTCTCAAAAGATCGAAAATACTCTGCAAAGGACAATGATGATCTATGCATTATTTGTTGGGACGGTGGTAATCTGTTGCTTTGCGATGGATGCCCAAGAGCATTTCATAAAGGTCAGATATAAATTACAACAAAACCTTGTTGGACAAATGATCTATTGGTACGATTGTTTGAAGTTTGGGATCATCTTTCTTCCCACCTATTTATTATCCTTTCATTACTATAATAGGTTATTAAAACCAAATTGCTTGATGAATTAGTCTGGTAACAGGTCCAAGTTACCTATTAGGCGAGGTACCCGTTTAACTGGCTATAAACAAGGTTGAATCAATGCCAGTTTTATGAGTTTCATTCAGTTTTGCAAAACATTTAGATAAAGTTCCATGGTTAAGCATGAAATTCAAGACCTGATAATTAAATCAGGTGATAGTAAGTAGAAATTACTATATCTTAGTTATATGTTGTTAGTCATACTCCGTGATAAGTTAGTACGCACTTAATATAGTGCTTATTAAATTAGCTGAAACTATTGTTTGAGATGCCTTAATTTTGTTTCGACATTTACTTAGTGGAAGCAGCATGAAGAATATTTGCTTTGTTGGTAAATTGTGAGATAGTCATCTTCTAAGCAAACTGTTATGGTCCTATGTCTGAAAATGTACAGAGTGTGCAGCTCTGTCTAGTATTCCGAGTGGTGACTGGTACTGTCAATTTTGCCAAAACATGTTCCAGAGAGAAAAGTTTGTGGCACACAATGCCAATGCAGTGGCAGCTGGAAGGGTAGAAGGAGTTGATCCTATTAAACAGATTACTAATAGATGCATTCGCATAGTCAAAGACATTGAAACTGAGCTTAGTGGGTGTGCTTTATGCAGGTAACAAATTCATTGTAAAGATTAGATGCCATTTAATAGACTTTGCTGTTATCTAACATTATACCTGAAATTGGCAATTGTTACTATGTGGTGTTGGAAGTCCTACGTCGCCTACCTCATGTCATATGGTATGGTTTAAATATATGTTAGGCTACTCTACATATAGTCAATTAGTTTTATGTTAGAACCTTAATATGGTATCAGAGTCAAAGCCTAACATCTTTCCGATTATTGTCTTGGGCCAAAAATTGTCCTTTCGTTGGTTCAAAAGTACCCTTTGCCTGGTCTGACAGACTTCGTTGGAGGGGGCGTATTAAAAGTCTCACATCGTCTATCTCATGTTATTTGGTATGATTTAAATATATGTTAGACTACTCCACATATAGCCAATTAATTTTATGTTGGAACCTTAATAGGTGGATATGCTCCAATGGTCAAGTTAATGAAAAAAAAATTGTATATTCATCATGATTGCACTGAGCTAGGCAATAAAGAGAATTTTGTATATGTAGGGCTGTTGATTTCAGCAGATCTGGCTTTGGTCCACGTACAATAATACTTTGTGACCAGGTATGCATTCTGATCCAATTTTGATTTTGTGTGTCATCTACAAGGACTCTGTAAACATTGATGCAATTATGAAGTATCTATTTGTTAGTTTTATTGAGCTAGCTTCTGTTTGCCCTCTCTTTTTTGCTGCAGTGTGAAAAAGAATATCATGTTGGCTGTTTGCGGGATCACAAGATGGCATATTTAAAGGTATGCAGTTTTGTCATGTCTTTATATAAGGATATTACTTTTGGCACCAACTTCTCCTTTCCCTATTGGGCATAATATGCGTAAAACTAATTACAGGAATTGCCAGAAGGTAATTGGCTTTGTTGCAATGGTTGCACAAAAATACATTATACTTTGGATAACCTTTTGGTTAGGGGAGCTGAGAGACTCCCTGAATCTATCTTGGGTGTTATAAAGAAGAAGCAAGGGGAAAAGGGATTACAACCCATCAATGATATTGATGTAAGATGGAGGCTTCTTAATGGAAAAATTGCTTCTCCTGAAACTAGACCATTGCTTTTGGAGGCTGTTTCAATCTTTCATGTAAGTTCTGCTTAACCGTTTCAATCCTTGTTTGTTCCCAAACAAGTGATGGAGGTGCTTTGGCTTTTTACCCCTGGAAACACTTTCTCTGTGTTTTTTTATTGTCCTATCTTCCTCAGCTGACCTCCCCTTACACCGTTATCTGGTTGTAGCTTGTCATTTGGCAGTAATTAGATAAAATATATACAAGGTTTTATAATTCGGTTGTGTTGTGCTCCGATTTGGTCTGCTATTACAACCTGATGCAGTTTGTGGTTGAATTATGTGATGTCCTATGTGATTTAGAACTGATTGTATAATATATAAACCATTTTGAGGAGAGGATTGAAAAAAGTATTCCGTAATTGGATTTCACATCTCTATTGCTGTTGCACTACCATGGTGTGTCACGTGTAGTCCCTGTGATGTGTAGAGTATCATCTCTTGATTTGTCTTTTTTCTCAGCTTTGCCATTTTTTCTAGCTATGCCCGTTCATGTTTAGACAAGGTTGGTTTTATCATGGCCACAGCAGTCAAAATTGCAATCTTCCTTGTAAGTGTAATATCACAAAACGAAGAAAGGGCAAATTTGGAAGGAAATGTAATTTGTGGATGAGTCTGAATTAGCTAGTGGTCATCAACACGTGCTTGACAAACCAAATATCGAGGGACGTAGGAGAAGCAATCTCAGAAGAAGATTGAATTCACATATGGGGTATTTTGTATGGGAAAAAGAGTTAGATATAAAGATAGTAGATAGGAGAATGGGGTGTGGACTCCTTGGTTTTCTTTCTCTCTTATTTATCCTCTCATTTCTTTGTTTTGCTATCCGGGAGAATAGGTATTTCGTTTCTTTAGGTTGAATTGCAAAATTTGGACAGGACCACCTTTCTTTCCAGAATAGTACTGAACATCTCGTTTAATCTCATTATTCTATTTTTTTAGTAAGTAGGTTATCCTTAACATTTTTGAAAATTCATTCCAACATATTGAATCCATTGAATTGCGGAAAATCAAATTTGACGTTGTAGACCTAAAAAGGTGGTGCAGCAAAAGTTGTCACTGGCAGCATTGATGAAGTACCTAGCTCATGTAAGTTCTGCATACCAGTTTCCAAGTTCTCGAAATGAGCAGAATATTCGGAGTGGAGATTCCGTCATGCCTAGGATGTGTCTCACGTCGGTGGTGAGTTGCTTAATGTCATTCGCTAGATCTTTCATACGTGTATTCTCAGCCATGAAAGAGAAGTTTGGATGAAAGTACCAAATGTTAAGGACAACCTGCAGACTAAAACAAAAATACAGAATAACGGGATTAAATGATCGGTACTATTCTGGAAAGAACCGTAGTCCTTTCCAATTTTTGCAATTCAACTGAAAGAACTAAATAGTTATTCTTCCCAATACCAAAACAGATAAATGAGAGGATAGAAATAGAAAACCAAAGTCCACACCCCATTCTCCCCACTACTATTCTTTATCATTAAATTTTTGTCCTGCTTCTTCTGCATCCCTCGTTCTTTGGTTTGTCAGTCTCGTGTCCTGGACCACTATCTAATTCAGACTCACCCACAATTCCTTCCAAGTTTGCCCTTTCTTCGGAACCCAATCCACATAAGTTATTGATAATATTTTTAATCCAAAATCTTATATTAGGGGTTTTACTTTTTTTATACGTTGTTGAACTTTTTTTTATACAACGTGGGACTTAGAATCAGTAAGATTGGGAAGTTTTCATGCTCCCATTTATTTTGATCAGTCAAAAAAGCTTGTTCTAGAGTGTGATTATTGGGGTTGCACCATCTTAGATGTAGTAGTGTCATCGGATGACCCACCCCACTATGCAACACAAGAAGCCATTTCGGGGAGTTGGGGAGGGTTAGGGGGAGTGAGACCAACCTGGAAAAGAAATACTCGAACCTTATTTCCTTCAACTTGATTTGTCTACAAGTTTTGCATATGTGTTTTGTGGCTCTATCTATATGAGCTTTGCATAGATATTGCTTTAGAAAATTAATGTGTCACAATTTCAGTCTATTTGGTGCCACTTTTCTGTTTTATCCCTTGAACAACCACTTTCGTCATTTACTGGATTGATGATTGAGACGAGACTTCCCCTGCTTGTTTCAGGAATGCTTTAATCCTATAGTTGATGCAGTTAGTGGGCGTGACCTTATTCCAGCCATGGTTTATGGGTTAGAAACTCCTTTTAAACCATTTTTTGTCTCATTTTTCCTTTATACTTTTTCTTTTCTTTGTCTCAGTTAAAGTATCATCCACATACAGGAGGAATGTGCGTGGTCAGGAGTTTGGAGAAATGTATTGTGCATTACTAATAGTCAAGTAAGAAGTGGTTTTCTGTATTTAATTTTCTTTATTTAATATTTAATAGTACTTGCTGTTTTTTATTTTTTTATGTTAAAGTTCAACTGTGGTATCTGCGGGCATGCTTCGAATTTTTGGCACAGATATTGCTGAACTCCCTCTAGTTGCGACAAGCAACGGGAAGCATGGAAAGGTAATAGGCTGTTCTTCTGGTTGTCTGCCTTTTGCAACACATTCTTTCCTTAATTTGAAATTTTCTGCACTCTAGAACTTTGATTGATTCATGTATATTACCATCACTTATGGCTGTCATGGTAGTGCATTAATAATAAATTAATATATTAGTTTGTTCCAAGCAGGGCTACTTTCAAACACTCTTCTCCTGCATCGAGAGGCTGCTAGCTTTCTTGAATGTGAAGAACCTTGTGCTGCCAGCTGCTGAAGAAGCAGAATCCATATGGACAGATAAATTTGGGTTTAGCAAGATGAAACCAGATCAGGTACATTCTGCTTTTATTTGATCTTGTGGTAGCTACGTTAAAAATTTGCCCTTTCTCTTCTGTCCAGCATTTTTTCAGGTTAGCTTTAACTAGTTTACTGTGGCAAGATAATTCGACGATCTGCATTATTTGTCATAACACCATTTTAAAAAAAGAAATATTTTTCATCCTTGCGTTGCAGCTTACCTACTATAGAAAGAACTGTAATCAGATAGTAAGTTTCAAAGGGACAAGTATGCTGCATAAGATGGTGCCTCCGTGTCGGATTATCAATAATCAATCTTGACATTTTTAATACAGAAAAAAAGACAATTGTGAAAGGGGAAAACCCCAAGCTTTTTCGCTTCCTTTTGCCCTTTTTTCATGTTTTGTATAAATTTATATAATTAACTTTTGGCTATTAAAAGCCATTCCTGAACCGTTCCTGCCTTGTGTTCTATATTAAGTTTAATTTTAGTTAAGAAAATACTAGTTCAGTAGTTCTTGATCTTGGACAAGTGTTTTGCAATGTAAGATAATCTTTTTACCTGATACAACTAGCGTTACTAGATCGCTGTCCACAACAAAAAGATGAGTAATCCAATCTAGAAACATGATGTATCAGTTCAGTGACTTGTAATGGTGCAGTTTATATTATTTTAATATAATAGAATTTTAAGGCATATTATTAAAAATAAAAATGAAGTTAAATGAAATTAATTAATTAATTGATAAAAAAAACACTTAACTATTCTATTACTTTATTTATTACTCACTCTTTTCATCTATATATTTTATTTAACTATTTTATTGTCTCATTTTTGTTATTCTAAATAGCTTCATAAACCGAAATATAACTAATAATTTTGTGTACTATTCTAAGACTTCAGATTAAGATTTTTAATTTTTTTTATTAAACAGTATATAATCTATTTGATTCATCGAAAGTAATTTTTTTATTGTGTCTTAATCTTAAGATTTGTTACAAATTATAATTTACATAAAAAAAATTGCAAAGACCCGGAATTTCACCGAGTCAAGTTTTAACAAGTGATACAAGACACAAGTCCAAGGGGGCGGTTGCAGCAGATTCAATTCGAAGTATCTGCAAAAGAAACTGAACGCAGTGCATTTCTAATATAAGAAGCTCCACTTCTTTGGAATGACACAAAATAATCATATTCATGAACAGTCTCACTCACACTGCCCCAATAATGAATGAACCTACATTTATTTTATCCTCTCCTTCATTTTTTTCATTTTCACTCTTACTTGGCGTGTCCATCTTCCAATCTCTATTACTGCTCATCTCTGTCTTACCAACAATTTTCTCCATAGATCCATAATGCTTTATAAAGCCGGCTCAAGTAAGAACTTCTACACGCCTACCTAGACATGACACACCTCCATACGTACATTTCTTATCTCCCACTCCAATCAAGCATCACTACCACACCCTTTTCACATGCACATAATAAAAGCATTCCTTACTCTCCCCTTCACCCCAAATCCTTTCTCATAAAGTAAATGATGGGATTCAACAGAATCCTCTTGTGGCTTTCTGGCTTTCTCATTTTTCTCTTTTCTCTTTCGTTTGTTCTTTATTCCACCCCAACTTCCCCAGGCGATAACACACCCATTAGTCCTCAAGATAGTTTCAGTTTCCAGCTTGGTATATTTGGTAAGATTATAAAGCTTAGTGGAGCTCAAGACTTGGTGTCTCTGATAACAAGTATAGCCAGGAGGAGACATCATCATCATCATGACCAGGGGAGACATAAGGAAAAATGTGATGGGGCCAAGTGGGATTCCAGGCTTATTCAAGACTATAACGTGAGTCTTGTTTTCACGGTTGACTTAAAGGGCTGTGCTAACTTCAGTAGTGTGCAAAAAGCTGTTGATGCTGTTCCTGAATCTAGCTCAGATACCACCCTTATCATAATCGATTCTGGTGCATACAGGTTGTTGTCTCTCTCACTTTTTATTCTTCCTTTCTGCCTAATCACCTCCATTTTACTTTTTCTTTCTTCCATTCGTTAAACCAAACACCGAGTTCAAGTTAATCTAAAACACAAATGAATGGTTTTGTATTACATCTCAGAAACTCTTTACATGCAAGAGTCTGAAGGAGGCAGGTTTGTTTATTTTATGTTAACAATCAATTCTGGTAAGAAGGAGGCAGTAGATCAAATTTTAGATGACTTGGTCCTAAAGGTTCTTATTCCATGACATGAACTTACTACCTAAAAAGTTAAATTATTAGGTGGAGAAAATTGAATGATTCTTTCTCACATCACTAAGAACTATCCAAAAGGGCGAACTCTATACGAGTTCTTGCATATAGGTTTCAAATCTTACAAAAATCTGGCATAAGAGTTTGCTAAGTTGCCATGCAAAGGTTCTTAAAAATAATAGAACTAGTTCTTATGAATAAAAAAATTAATTATTATAATTAATTTTTTTTTTTAGTTGTCAACAAGTAAAACGTAAATATTTTTTTATTAAAGTATAGATTACATATAAGAAATTTGTATTGTAACAAAACATGTAAAAAAAAAAAAAAAAAAAAGTGATGTGAATTTTTCATGAATGATAAAACACGTAAAACCCATTAAAATGAAGTTAAGAACATTGGATAGTTACTTATAATTAAAAATCCCGTTGTAAATACTCTAATATTCAACCAGCATTTTCCCGTCATTGGCATGATGAGACGTGTGTGTCAATATATAATTATAGTGTTCTTTGGTATTATACTTAATCCCTTGTTTAGAAGAATTATTAATGAGCATTATACACCAAAATCTTGAAAACAAAAAGTCAAGTATTTCGACGCAATAACCTCTCTAGAAAGACATTTAAATCAATGCATTTTATTTTTCAAAATCAAAAGAAGATTTCTCAGTTCTTTCTCGTTCACTTTCCTGCTATCCAAGACTTTTCTATTTCCGTGAACATGGTTGGAAGGAGAAACAACATGTACAGTTTTCTTAAAATAAAAATGAATTGATTTGTCGTTGAAGTGAAGTTGAAATTCAGCATATAAATGTTAATTGTTTTTACATTATAGAATCCATTTCTACTTTATCATATATTTTTAATAATTTTTTCAAGATTCGAATGTATCTCTCTTCAAATATTTGATAATTAAGATCACAGGGAGAAGGTAGTTGTGCAAGCCAACAAAACAAACTTAATAATTCAAGGTCAAGGGTATCTGAATACGATCATAGAATGGAACGACACTGCGAATTCCACCGGCGGTACTTCCTATAGCTACTCCTTTGCCATCTTTGCTTCTAAGTTCACTGCTTATAACATCAGCTTTAAGGTAATTAAGCATGCATGCAGATTCGAATATCATCTCACTAGGTCTTAAACAGAATTTTGAATGTCCACAAGTTATGTTTTTTGGGATTTTATGGCCATTAATACGTTGTGATGGCTTCTGATACTTTTGCATTTGGATTATCTGGAAAGAACACGGCTCCTCCACCGTCACCAGGAGCGGTTGGGGCACAAGCAGTGGCACTGAGAGTTACCGGTGATCAAGCAGCTTTTTATGGATGTGGATTTTATGGTGCGCAGGATACACTCAATGATGATGGTGGAAGACATTATTTTAAAGAATGCCTTATCCAAGGCTCCATTGATTTCATATTTGGAAATGCTAGATCACTTTATGAGGTAAAAAAGAAAGAAAGAAAGAAAGAAAGAACTGTCTACCCCAATTCATTACCAAAAATACTAACGCAATCTTCCGATCCTGCAATGAAAAATCAGTTTTTCAATTTTTATTTTTTCGTTCTCGTTTACTATTTGGTTATAACATGACATACATTTTAACACATTAACTTAAAAATGAAAGCTTGATGAGTATATGTGTATAGTTTGGAAAACCACGGATTAAGTTGTGGCAGTGACACGTGCAGGATTGTACCATAAACTGTGTGGCAGGAGAAGAGAAGGTTGAGATTAGCGGGTCGATCACCGCTCATGGGAGACAATCGAAGGATGAAGAAAGTGGGTTTTCCTTTGTGAATTGTAGCATTGTTGGGAGTGGAAGAGTGTGGCTTGGTAGAGCTTGGGGACCCTATGCCACTGTCATCTTCTCCACCACATACATGTCTGATATCATAGCAGCTGAAGGATGGAATGATTGGAGAGATCCCTCTAGAGACCAGTTTGCATCTCTTCTCCTTCTTACACTTTTTATCTCTAACTTTCAACAATTATTCACTATCTGCTTTCATTCACACAGGAGTGTGTTCTTTGGAGAGTACCGTTGCCATGGACCTGGAGCAAATTATACATCCAGGGTCTCTTATGCGAAGCAACTCAGGGACTTAGAAGCAAACTCTTACATGGATATTTCCTACATTGATGGAAATGATTGGCTTCTTAATTATCCTCAACGCTATGTTAACCCTTCATAAACAATGAAGCTCAACTGATAAATTAATGCGTGATTAGGGTTTGGGGAAATAACTTTTGTTCATTCGCAGTTCATATTTGATGAGTTGTAAAAGGTTCAAATTAAACCACGTCGTCAAGGGAAATAACTATTAAATCCACTGTTGAGAAGTATTCAACCCCTGTAAAAAATAATCGTAAAATATAAAATAGCTATTGGGTACCAATAAACAGAACCAGGAAAAATTACGTTGATATAACATTAACCATTCATACCATCAAATGCGAAAACAAAATTATACAATTTATATGTAAAACGATCAACGTATATTATCATGAAAAATATTGTAGTCTCTTACTTTCCCTAGCACCAAAAAGTTTATTTTATTTATTTTTTATACGTCATCGTGAGAAAATGACAAAAAAAAAAAAAAAGATATTGCTTATTATATTATATCACATATTTAATATATTAACTAATGTTCACGATATCTTCAATTAAGCATGAAATGTTGAAGTGAGATGAACCTTCCTCTACCATGGCATTTCTTGCCATCTTTCCAAGCTCTATTGCTCTATTCCTCCTCTTTTCCCCCTCTTCACCTCCCACCATGCACATCTCTATAGCCTCAGTGATTCTACTTTTCTTAACCATTGCACCAACTTTCTCTTCATCACCCCACCTTACCGGAACCTCGATTCCTACTCTAACTCCAATCTTCAAAACTTGCATAATGAATTTTTCATTCAAGAATTGCTCAGCGAATAAAGGCCATGTTATCATTGGCAACCCGGAACACACAGCTTCTATTGTTGAATTCCAGCCACAGTGAGTCAAGAATGCACCAACTGAAGGGTGAGATAATATCAGTGTTTGTGGAGCCCATCCCTTTATGACAAGTCCTCTACCTCTTATCCTGTCATCAAATTTTTCATTCTCTAACCAGTTATTTAGCTCTGAAATATTTTCTCCTGCATTTTTGACAACCCAAATAAATGGTTGATTTGATGCTTCTAAACCCAACCCAAGTTCTATCAATTGAGATGTAATAAGCCTACACAAGCTGCCAAGGCATACATAAATAACTGTTCTTGGTTTCATCGAGTTTAGCCATTCCAAGCATTGCTTCTTTTCAATTGAAGACCTGTTTCCTCTCTCAAATTGGTCCAAACTATCCTTGTTGAATAAAGACACGGGACCAATGCACCAAACTCTCTTGTTCAAGGCCTTCTCATACTCCTTAGCACAACCATGCTCCAATTCTTCAAAGCTATTTACCACAACCCCAGAAGCAGACATTTCAGCCTCCAACATTTTGTCTCTAAAATCATCCAAATCAGGCAGAGAAAAAAAGGCTCCAGGGAGCTGTGCTTTGGTTATCTCAATCCTCTGAGGCAGTCCTGGTATGAGAAAGGGTTCTGAGTCAGAAGGGCATGAAAGATGAGAATTGTAGAGCTTGATATTATAGGAGCTAAGTAGTGAAAAACAAGACATCCCGTGAAAGACAAGCCTTGGAATATTGAACTTCTTGGCTGTTATAGAAGTCCAAGAGAGGCATTTATCTGATATAATGCAACTTGGAGGAGAAGGGTGGTTTTGAAGGTACTGCTCCAAAGGTTCTTGCATCATGTCAAGGGCAATATAAAAGTTCCTGAGTAGGTTTTTTGATGGTAAAGTATCAAGGTTTTCACAGCCTAACGGAAGTCCAACTTTTTGGCATGGAAATGGAATTTGTAGGAGCTGAATTGGAAGGCCAGATTTTGCTGCTCTAATAATTGTTTGCCCCAGTCTTGAGGCATTGTGAGGAGTACTTATCAATGTGACAATAACCCCTCTCCCTGCCAAAATCCTTGCTATGTCTATCATGGGGATCATGTGGCCTTGAGCCAGAAGTGGAACTAACACAAAATGAGGCTGCTTCAGTGGCAAAGCCATTACCTAATAAAGTAACGTAGCTAATATAACTGGTTCGTTACATGGAAATAAAAATTTGAGAAGGCCAATATATATTGTTGCCCACAGTTTGACGTTTCTATTGCTGATCATGATCTCAAACCTTCGAGAATATTTGATGCTGATAAATATCAGCTTTACAGAAAAATTAAAAAAATAAAATAAAAATAAATAAATATATATATATATATATATATATATATATATATGAGAGTCTAATTCACCTCATGAATAATTATTCGAAGAGATGTGAATTAATTGATTAAATGTGTGAAATTTTGTAAATTCAATCTATTTTTTAATTGTTATTAATTAATTTCATATTTTAATATAAGTCGTTAATTTCGACACCAGCCACTAATTTATGTGTGTTTGAAAACGGAGAGATTATGCGCAAAGAGAAAATTTTGCAAAGATAAATGTAATATTTTTCATTTTTTTCAACAAAAGTACATATATGTTGCTTTGAAAAGATGAAATATAGTCAAAATACGCAATTCGACACCTCGTTGATTAGGTCAAAAGTTTAACCACTTAAAAACGCAATTCACAACATGTTTGAAAACTATGGTCGAATGAAAAATGTTCAATTTTTATAAGGAGCGTTGCTCCATGAGATGATGTAAAAATATCAGTTATTTTAAATAATCTTTTATTAAAGAAATTTTATATAATATGATAAGCTACTTGTTTTATTAAATAATTTTAAAAAAATAAAACAAAATAAATGAGAACAAAATGAGAGAGAAAATATTTTTTTAAAAATTTATTAAAAAAATTATTGAAGTAAAATTAATTACGAATTATTTAAAAATGATATGATATAATAAATTTATAATTTATAATTTTTTAATGTAAAAAATACTTTATATGAATTGTTCTTATTAAAAGTATCTTAAAAAATAAAAATAAGTGAATATAATTAAAATTTATGGAAAATTTTCAGTTAAATTAAATTATATGAATAACCTGATATTTAAAAAAAATCTATATTAGTATATTAATAAAATATATATATAATTTGAATTTTATAATATCTTGATTTTTTCAAATATAAAAAATACGATCAAAAAAATAAACATCTTAATTAAAGTGATATCTTTAAAAACATTTGTCATTTATAATAAATCAAATATATAAAAATAAAATACTAAATTATTTTACGTGTATCTAAGTCCGAATATAATATATTAAAACAAGAAGAAAGAGAAATCATGTTTTTTTATTATATACATATTACATAAACCTTAACTCTCAAATATCATATACATCTTCAAAGTTCTGAGGGAAGTATTAATGTTGAAGTTTAAAAAATACATAAGGATTTTTATTTTCTAAAACCAATCTATATAAAATATATATATTTAAAATATTATTTAGATTACTTTAAAGAATATGTTATGGGATAGGAATAATAATTAGTATTTTTTTTTCTTATTATCAATGGAAAATTACTATAATGTTTAACTTTAAACATATTGGGGAGATGTATCTTGTGATGATTAATGTAAACACTACAAATTATAATGCCCAGACAAGAATCTAGAACTTCGCCCATTGGCTACGGAAATTTTCTAAGCTTAGTTTCAAAAGAAGGTTCCTTCGTTGTCCTTCCAAGTAAACTACCATAGATACGTGGGTTTTGAAGAGTACTATATTAATCATATGTAAAGAAGAAACAAAGGTTTCTTAACAAATACATTTGAATTTTGTTGCTGAAGAAGTTTCTTAGCAAATTACTCACTCCATCCACCTTCTAGAAGGTTTTTTGGTTATCAAATAGATAGAAGAGTGTAACAAAGCTATTAAATTAACCTTAAAATAATTAATTTATTGACAGTTTCTGTTGTCCACGTTAATACTATTAAGAATATAAAAATATAGTTAATATTACATGCAAAAGTTTAATAACACTTACTTTCAGACTTTCTTTTTTAATTACGTTTAAAAAGATGGAGAAATCACATATCAATGTATTCACTATTTTTTTTATTCATATCATCTATCATAAACCATAAATATTTTAACTATTTCAAAATCAAGACATAATTTCACTACTTTCACTATATTTTAATTTAAATTATATTTTTACCAAAATAATTAGTGTCGATCATTAATATTTTAACCTTTGTTAAATAAGTTTATTAATGATAAATTGCAATTCTTATTAAATATAATAACAAAAATACATAAAATACTGTACTTATCTTTTATAATTAAAGTTATTATGAAGTTCAGTTTTATAATATGGTTTTTGAAATGTTTGAGTTATATGCTTCGCATCTATAATTATTTTTAACATTCGTAATTTATTAAGTTAATGTATTTTTTTTTGTTACAATGAAATTAATGTGTTATATATATGTTTTATTGGGTTCATTATATATATTGACCCTGGAGTTCCCGCAAACAAGAAGTCTACTCATTTGATAGGCTGGCATAATAATTTTATTAATCTGACATCTAAATTTTTATATCTTTTGATTGAACAATTATAAGCACAAATATTTTAGAACCAAAAGTATATATTTTTATGATTTTATATGAAACACTGACTTTAGGAGGAAAGTCTGATATATTAAATTGAATTTATTTAATAATAAAGTGTCACGTAGAGGAAAAAAGTTATAATAAATTGTAAACTTTATTTATTCAATAATAACTTAATAGTTTAATAGTAAAATCAATAAATTTAATATTTTCAGCGCATGGTGATGGAGGAAATTAACCAGTTTATTGAATATTTTAATATTAATTTAGTGATCATTTACATCAACCATTAAATAAATATTTGTTGTGTAATTTTATAGTTAACATTTTATGTATAATATTAATTTTTATTAATATAACAGTTAAATATTTTGATATTAATTCAATATGCTTGCATGTAAATCAAACTTTGATGAGTTATAGTTTTATAGTCTATTATTATTATTATTATAATTAAAATGATTTATTCATTAAGAAGTTTCAATTTATATTGGATTTATATAAAATTATTTTTATTAGAAAAAATCAATTTAACCCACAATATCTTTTTATAAAGTATAAGTAAATGTCAATTAATAGATTACCTAATAACAATGAATACTTACTCTATCTAGAGTTTGATATGAATCATAACTTAATTAATCTTGTGAGTGAAACGAGTTAGCTTTGAGAAATCACATGTTGTAGTAGTAAGACTGTTAATAGTCACAACCACATTCTTTTCCACGATCCAATCAATCAAAAGTTTTTATCCAATTTTATTTTGTTAGTCATTGAGACGTAGATAAAGTTATGCACTGTTTGATAAAATATAAATAACAAAATCTTATATTAATTAAAAATATAAAAATTTTATAATGTATAAATAAGTATAATCTTTTTATAAATTAACTGACATATTTTAAGATTAATTTAATAATAATTAGAGGTGTCAAAATAGATTAAGTTAAATAAAAAATTTTATGACTTAAATATAAACAGATTAATTTTATTCTGATTTATTTAGATCAAACTTAAATGGACTTAAATTATACTAGTTTTTAAATTATACTAATTTGTAGGTTCATCATCCGATCTGTTTTATAAATTATTAATTATGTTTAAAAAAATAAAATAAGATTATTTTATTAGAAAAAAAATATATATATATAATAAACTAATTCGATAATATATTTTATTATATATATATATATATATATATAATTTTAAAAAAATAATAAACTTTATATATAAACTTTATTTTTTTTATCATCTTGTTGCTGTTGTCACATTTGATTTTAAATATCAATAATTTAAGACAACATATTTTTATACGTAATGTATTTTTAAAGTATCATGAATTGAGAATTATATTGGATAATATGACTAATTTGTTAAAATAATAAAAAATTGACTCTAAAATTTATTTAAATAAAATTTTAAATTCTAATTTTAATTCATTGTTATAAACATTTCAATTACAAAAATTTATAACATATATTTAATAGAAAATAAAAAATTACATGATATATTATCTAATATTTCTATTAGGATGATATATAGACAATTATAATTTTTGACTGTAATAATTTATTTTTATAATTTTATAACATAATATTTCATAATTTTATTTTATTTAAATAGATTATGATTTAATTTAAAATAAACAAATAAATAATATATTATATTCTTTTAAAAAATTTTAAAATTTATATAAATAAATTATTTTTAATTAGACAAAAAATATGCGTTGTCCTTAAATAAAAATAGATTAAACACAAAATTTTGGTCCATTCACCATCAGATTTTTTTTTATTTTTTTATCTACTTGGGCCTAAAAAATAATACGGAACTAGATCATCCGATTTGATAATATTTTTAATAAGCAATGTGTAAGTCAGTATCCTTTTAATTAAATATTATTAAAAAAAATACTGATTAGACTGAATCATCAGAATTTTTCTTTTTTTACTTGAACTAAAGAAATATACGGACAATCCTTCTAGAAAGTCAATATCTTTTAATTAGACGTTATTAATAATGGACTAATGATTTATTTACATGCCGTGTATATATATTCTACCAATATTTATGGACGAAATCTATTTAATGTGTAACTTTTTCAACAGGTAATTAAAATGATATTTTATTCACTTATATTAACCACAAATTTGGGTTTATATGTAATTTCAATTTTAAACTAGATTTTCAAACTTCTTAAAATTTAATAAACAAAAGCCACCATTATCTTACATTACATGCCCTCCCGTGACCACATATCCCTCCGACGAATTCTTCGGCCCACCTGGCGCCATCGTGGGGTTTTTCCCTCCAAACCCTAGTCGTACCTTCCTCCAAACTCTCGTCGAGTTATCTCCTCCAAACCCTGGTAGATTCATCCCGTTCAATCCCTCCCCGAGTCATCCCCTTAAAACCCTCCAATCTCGTTGTCGCTCGCGCTCCACCTCCTCCTCACGGCTGTTCCCCCGACGGTCTATACCCCCTCCCCCGAGGACCACCTCATCGTGGCCGTGTTGGATCCCAGGACGACGCTGGTTGTGTTCACCAGCACCTGCATTTTTACCATCAATGGTGACACAGATCTAAATGACAGTGAGCGTGTTCGTTGATCTCACTCTCAGCTTTGCACTTATCATCCATTCTTTGTGTTGCATTGTGTTAGTGTTAGCTAAGGCTACTTCTTTCTTTTTACCTTAGATGTTTTATTTTATTTTATTGTGAATCGTGTTTTGTGGACAACTTCGACAATTCCTCAGTAGATTACTTTTATTTGGCCTAAGTTTTGTGTATAGTTTTAATGGGTTTTATACCATTTTACAGTTTTCCAGCTGATCCCTTTAGTTTCACTTGTTGATTAGTTACCCTGAATGGTACTGGTTACTCAGATTGATAGGGTGGCCTCTCCCTTGTGTACCTATGATTTCAGCAAATAAAGGATCTTCTCTTTTTTTACATTTAAATAAAGTTATGCAAGATAGAATGATTTTAGTGAAAAAGTGGTATTGGATAGTAATACTTGAACTAGAATCTTTTTTTAATTTAAAGGAGTCTAGTAACACGACGTTGAGTTAGAGTGTTTTTTTTTTTAAGTGTGTGTGTTTTAAAATTTAATTAGACATAATTTATATATATATATATATATATATATATATTTAATTAGTTAATTTAAGCTAATAGATAAATGTAAATATTTTAACTTGTAAAATAAATTCTGTTAGGCGAATTATACAAATAAATAGATTCAAATATTAATTTTTCATTAAGCCAAAAATACGAAATATTAATTTGATCTTGATCTTGATAAAAAATCTTGTAGTTTATATGAAAAAATTAGTGATTTTAGAATTATCGTACTTTGAAGTAAACATGGAAGGGTCATACTGAAGCCTTCATATAGTAAATAGTAATCTTTTTTTAAAGTGCATCCAGCTTCTAAATGAGCAATCTCCACTTCTTCATTGCTCAGTTTCAATTTCTCAAACAACTAATTCTTGAGTTGTTTCTCCTTTCGCAACAACTTAATGTTACTCAGTTGTAGCTTCCCCCGCAGTTGTTTCTTTTTCAACCATGGTTTCTTCAGTTGCTACCTTATGCTTATTCTCCAATAATCCCAATAGCAATACCTTTGATTGTATCATCTACAATCTTCTCAACAACTGAACTCAATTGCTTTTCTTCTTTCCAAATGAGTGCTAAGTTTTTTTTTTTTTTTTTTTTTTTAATAAAAATTCTGCTAAATACTTCTGTTGTGAGTGGCAGAACTTGTTGGTAGATGAGGGGACATGGACTCCAAATTTAATTATTTTTTTAAAGCATTGTAACTTACGTTTGATTAAAAATATATTAGTTGACTCCTCAAAATCAATTTTCAACATGGTGTATGTCCGAAGGGATCCCAAGCCACAAAAGCTCTTCTGGTTCCATTTGTTTCTCAGGAACATTCTCAACGCTTGCTAACTTAGCTGACTTCTGAGAAGCAGATTCTCCTGTTTCTTTTGGTGGGGCACTAGATCCACCTCTATCTTTTGCTAGTTCCGTTTTCGACTTGTTTTATGGGTTGATACTTCGGCAATTTTTGGTACCTTGCAGAGGCTCTTCACCCTCCTTTTCTACCTCAGGAATATCTTGTTATTTTCTTCAAAAGTTTCATCCGCTATATAGCTTGAATAACTCCTTCTTTAGAAGCTAAGATCGCTGTTGCTTCCTTTCATTCTGAAATACTCCCATCAACTTCTTTATTTGTCCTCTTTTCCAGCTTTTCCTTAACCTCTTCTTCTGCCAGCGGGATTAATGTCTGGTTAGTGAACAAATATGATAACAAATGAGAGTAAATTAGTCTCTGCAAATGAGATTATAAAATCTTTGTACTTTAAAAAAGTCAAATTAATAACTCTAATTTGTTTGTCATATTAATCTTTGCTAGTTCTAAGAGCTATAGCAAGGATAAATTATAAGACTTAAATAATGATAGTAATTTATACATGCTACAGACTAAAATGACAATTGTTTTAATTTCATAGTTTTTTTTTTTTTACATTCTTCTAATTTCAAAATCTATGTTATGATGATGTTTTCGTTGTAAGAAATAAAATAATTTATTTTAATCATCAATATTTCAGTATCGACTTATTTTCATATGATTATGCACCAGTCCACACTCTCATTCTATAAAGGAGGCATAAGATCATATCACTCATTTTAGCTGAATAATCAGTGTGTTAGTGGATATAATCATCAACAAAAATATAGGGCAAAAATATAATTTGGCACTCTTACACAGAAACGAAGATATCAACATATTTTACTTATTGGCCGAGCAGAATTAGGAAACAATATATCTTATATGCTTTTGATAACCGAAGATAATGGTTAGTCCTTGTTGGACTGTTGCATGATATCTTGGATTAGCTGGGTCACATTCAAGTGAGAAGAACCTCCTTCTACAGCTTTCTTAGCCATCTCTGCAAGCTCTCTGGCCCTTTTTCTTCTGTCTTCACTTTCACTTCCCTCATCCATTAACTTCTCTATAGCCCTCACAATATCATCCTTCTTCACCAACACCCCTGTTTTTTCTTCATCGCCCCAGAGCACCGGACTTTCCACCCCAACTCTTACTCCAGTTCTTATAATATTCACAATAAACCTCTCATTGAAGAATTGGTCCCCAAACAATGGCCACGTAAGCATTGGCACGCCAAGGGATGTTGCTTCTAAGGTTGAGTTCCAACCGCAGTGTGTTATGAACCCTCCAATTGCAGGGTGTGATAGTATCAGTACTTGAGGAGACCAACCCAGAAGCATAAGACCTACCTCCTTGGTTCTTTCCTCAAACCCCGATTCCTTAATCCACTTCATCAATTCTTCTGTTTGATTCCTTTCCCTGATAACCCAAATGAACGGTATTTTGGAGGCTTCTAAGGCCATACCGAGCTCTATGAATTGCAACGGAGTTAAATTGCATATACTCCCAAGGCACACGTAAATTACCGAATTTAGATTTTGCAAGTCAAGCCACTTCATGCAACTATGTGCATCACTTGAGGTGTTGTTGTTTCCTCTCCGAGCCTTATCCAAGTGATTCCTGTTTCTGAGTGAAACAGGCCCAACAAACCACACTCTATCGTTTCGGGCCTTCTTGAAATCCCTTGCATATGGTTGCTCCAACTCCTCAAAAGAATTCACGACCACCCCGTAAGTAACCATTTCAGCTGCGGCCATTTTTTCCACAAACTCGCCCCAGTTTTCATGCATAGGTCTTGGTGTCTGTGCTTTCGTGATCTCAACTTTGTCAGGGATGTCAGGTATGGAAAAGTACTCTGAATCTGTGCCTATGCTCTCAAGCACCTTAGAAGTGACCAACTTCTGCTGCCACCAGAGACAGAAGCAACTAACTCCGTAGAAAGAAATTCTGGGGACATTGAATTTGGTGGCGATGTGGGCTGTGTAGGCTAAACTCACATCAGAGATTATGCAGTGTGGTTTTGGTGTCAACTGTTCAAACGCTTTCTCAGCCGGTTCGTGTAGAATGGTGTTTGCGGCAAGGAAGAAATCCAAGCCCATGCCCATTGAAGGAAGCATGTCAAAATTCTCACACCCTTCTGGAAATCCAGCATCGTGGGATGGAAATTGGAGTTGAACTAATCGGAGGTTGAGGCCTGAGTCCGAAGCACGAGCAAAGGTTTCTGAGACACGAGAAGCGTTATGTGCTGTGGTGACTACAGTAACAATCATGTTATGCTGTGCCAATATTGTTGCAAGGTCTGTCATGGGGAGCATGTGGCCTGGGGCCATGAGAGGAAACAAAACGAAGTGAAGCTGAGATTCTTGGGATGCCATTTTGATATGAATTGGTCGAATGACCAACACTTCTCAAATTCACTTGTTCATATAATCTGTTCCACACTTTTTTAAAAGCATGTTCTGTGATGTAAGAAACTACCTATGCAAGTTCATGAGTCAGGTCGACACAACTCGCATCAGTGGAAGATTTGCAAGTATTGCAAGTCAACACGTCTTTAATAATTACCTATTAATTAAATAGGTATTGTGTGGTTTTCAGAAGGTTGGTGTCGTAAGTAAACATGACGCGAATATTCCTGAAAGATTTTATTAGAGTTCAGCTATCAAAGATTGTAGTCCACAAAAATTTTATCCAGCTAAAGAAGATTTGAATTTGAGAGTTTTTGCCAATGTTAAAATGTTATTAACAAACAATTTTTAAATACTTCTACTAATCTACCTCAACTAACTTAAAATTTGATCTTAGTTTTATAATTGTTTACTTTATTAATTGCTCTTTATTGTTAAATAACAACGCCAACCAATAACGTTACAACAACATCGACAACCTAGAGGTCATGTCATTTACGCAGTTATGAACATGACAGAACAACACGAGTAATTTTTGTTGTAAAATATTTCTAATCGACCTAAGGAAACAGGCAGATGTGAAATTAAAATACAATTATCTTATCCCTTCAAATTGTTAAATCACTTGACAATGTCAAAGTTGTTGCAATATTTTACTATAATTGATAGAAACATTCAACACGTGGACCAGTTAAGAATTTAATTAAAATCTAAAAAGAATCTAAAAATTTAAGTAATTTTTTAAAAGTATACTTAATATACCCAGGATGCACGCATGAATAATTTATTTGTTAAATAAACCCCAAAGGTGAACTCCTCTCTATTTTGCTATTAATTTGCAACTAAGAATTTCTTGAACAAATAATTTGCAATTTGAAGAAGATAATATATACCATCTTCAACTGCTTTATGAGTCATCTCTTTTATCTCTCTAGCTCTCTTCCTTCTGCGTTCTTCATCCCCACCTTGTTCCATCAACTGCTCAATAGCTTTCTTCACATTCTCTTTCATCACATATTCTCAGCCTTTTCTTCCTCCTTTGGAATTGCTAATGTTGCGTGATCACAAGAGGGCGAAGCATGAGGTTCCTGGAAGACAACTCTCGGTATCTTGAACTTTGATGCGACATCAGCTGTCCCAGGAAGGCAAAATTCAGAAACGATGCAGGTGGGCAGTGTTTCCATCTCTGAAAGCCATTTCTGAAGTGGCGAAAAACAAGTGTTGGTATTGAGGGGAAGGGAGGGTGTTCATTATCCTGGTTCTTTGGAAGGAAAGGGTAGCAAGGAAAAGTGATACGGAGTTTTAAGGCTTTTGCTTGATCAATGACCTTGCTGCATTGAGGGGTGTAAAAAGAAAGTGTGGGTGATGAGTTTGGGAATCCATAAATGGAGTGAGGCCTTGAGTTCACGTGTGTAACTTGATGCATGAAGGTGCAGTTGCAATATAATGGTCGTGATAGATTATTAGAAAATAAAATGCCAAAGAGAAAGTAAGGTATTAATCTTTGTGGTATGATATCTCAGGTTCTGCAACTATCTTTGCACTTTAAACTTGGTAAAAGTAGGTGTAATTTGCTTTTAAATTATTCAAAATGAATATTTAAAAAAAATCATAAATAAATATTTTAAAATTCGATTTCAAAACCAAAAACGTCTTTTAAACATGACTTTCATTTTTTTTTTATACTAAAGTCCTGGTTCAATATATACACACAAGTTTAGTTTATATGTTATAATTTCTTTGAGTGAAATCATATTTATATATATGACTTTATTTTTTATATTTTTTAACCTTTATATAATCATATATTTTTATTATTAATTATAATTATATTATTCATGATTTATATTAATAATTATTATAATAATTAATTTTATTATCTAGTAATATAATTATAATTATATTTTTATTATTATGATATTATTATTTATCAATATGTTTGTATTATTAGTATATTTATTATTTTTATTATTTTATTAAATAATAATAAATACGTATAATAATACTAAAATTAATAGCATTATAATAATAACAATAATAATAAATTTCTACTTATATAATAATGGAAAATATAATTTCAATTAAAGGAATAAATAATCAAATTACTAATATAATTATAATAATTTTATTATTATTATATTTATTAACTTTATTATTATTAGTATATTTATTAATTTTATTATTGTTATTTATTTAAAATGATAATAATAATTTTAATAAATAAGTATAATAATAATAATAATAATAATAATAATAATAAACTAACCGATATAATAATAATAATACATTTATAATTAGATAAACAATAAAAATATTATTATAATTATATAAGTATAGAAAAAAATATTAATGATTATAATAATAATTATTAATAATATTATTGTAATAATAATTTTATTATTATTATTATTATTTAAAATGATAATAAGTAGTATAACAATAATAATTTTTATAAATGATTATAAATAAATATAATAATAATAATAATAAAATTAATCGATATAATAATATAATAATAAATTTTATAATACTAATAATTATAATCATTAATTATTATTAATAATATAAATTATCAATAATATTATTATAATTATAATTATTTATAATAATTAATAATAAAAATATATAATTCTATAAAAAAATCGTATAAATACGATTTTATTAAAAACAAAAAATACTGTAACGTATAAATTGAATTATGATTTTAACATTAAAAAAAATGAAAAAGTGTATTTTAAAATATAAATTTTTTAATTCATATTTTAAAATATGAGTTATCTATTTAAAAATTAAAAAAAAAAGTTATACAAATTTCATGTTTGTACTTCCTACTCTTCTGCAAAATAATTAAATACCTATTTTGAGTAATTTAAAAATAAATTATTCAATTTTGATGATGGTACTATTTTTTTTAAGAATATTGGTTGTGATGATATATGTAGTACAATTTCTTTCTATCTTTTTATTTTTTTGATTTTTCTTTTTCAAGAAAGTTAAATAATAATTTGAACAATTTTTTAGTATTAATACTAAAATTTAATTTTATTAAGCATAATAAATCCCTAATTAGTAATTTATTAATTGTTCTATACCATTAAAATTGTTATCAATAGTTTAGGTTATTAAATTAAAATTTAATATCAATATATTTTAATTGTATTGTTTTCTATTAATATAAATTTAATTTAATAATAATGAACTTCATCTAACTACACTTTTTTTTACTATTTTATCTTACTCCGGAGCATAAGGTTTTGGCACGGCCCACGGTTTAATTTTTTCAGAAGGTAAAATTTATTTTATTTTTATGTTTGGTTATATTTTAAAAATTAATATTAAAAAAATAGTTTTTTTAAAGAATAATTTTTGCCCAGTTTTTCACAAAATATATATTTGAATTTAAATTTTCAAATTGAAATAAATAATTCAATTGAAAAAAGTAAATTACTCTTATTAAATTATTTAATACAATAATAAATAAAACATTTTACCAAAAATAACATATTACCCTTTCTTTTTTATATAAGTTTGTGTAAATATTTCCAGTAATATTTTAACTAACCAAACAGATAATTTCCAAGATTCATGGTTTTCTAGTAAAAAACTTTCTCCGTACCAAATATTTTCTCAAAAAGAATTTCTTAGTCTAAACACCAAATAATCTCTCAGTTGAATACCAAAATCAATTTTGATTGAATACATTTTAAGTCACTTAAAAAATGGTGTAAGACTTATATATATATATATATATATATATATATATTACTGTCTCTTAAATTAATTGAATTATATAATTTTAAAAAGTATCTTCATTTCATACTTATTTATATTTTACTAAATAATTTAATTTTTAATTTTTAATATGTTTTTAAACTTATTTTTTCTGTATTTCTATTTTCTTTATTTTGTTAAAGATCAAACAAAGCATAAAGGTACATTTTGGTAAAATGATATTTTTCTTTTTTTTACGGAATTAAACATTCTTATAATTTTATTTTCATTCTATTTCTTTATTTTATTAAACATGGTTAATTTGTTTTATTTTTTAAGAGGGGAAAACTCTAATAGGTGATTAATTTTTTTAAAATAAAGAGTGATCAAAATGAATAAATTTTAAAATATCATAAAATTAGGTAAGTATTGCTCAGAAGTTGCTGAAACTATATATTGCAAGCATTTTTTTTTAAATTAAGTTATGTAATATAAATTTTTTTTTTCAAATATGATTATAAGAGTGAAAACAATATCCAATAAGGTTATTTTTAGTCCTATTTTTCCAAAATAGATTATTTCTGGAAAAATTATCAATGTAAGCTATAAATTAGGGTGCAATGAACCCCTATGTTAAAAACATGCTACAAAATATGATTTTTTTGGTTCTTACTCTGCTCTGTACAGTGTTTTGGATCTTGCATGGGAAGAGAAAGCTGAAGAACACAGAGAAAAGACAAAATAAAGAGGCAAAACGCAGATGAAGAAAAAATGGCATGCTGAGCAACACGTACTCAACATGCACTTCAAATCTCTCACCATCTCAACCCACACATTGCTTCCACCTCATTCTGTTCAATTCAACACCTCATTTCTGCATGTAATACGTGGTCAAGTGTCCATACATTTTAAATAAAATAGAAATCGATACAAAAATTAAGATTATTTGTTTTAAATGAAATTAAGCGGAAGTATTGAAAGGAAAGTTTAAATAACTATGTATTTGATTGAATAAAAGATTTTTTTTTAAATATAAATATTTTTATTTAATTTATTTCATAGATAATTTTAAGAAGTTTGATATTATTATCACTATGTATTTTATTTAATAAACTTTTGCTGTCAAAGTTACTAGGAAACTCTTTAATTTAAATTGGTTTTAATCATTATTTAAAAAATTACTAATAAAAAATGGGTACGTTACTCTAAAATAATTAAATTTTAATTAAATCAAAATAAAATAAAAAAATTGATATAAATAAAAAATCGGATAAATTTTTTAAATTATTTTTTATAGAAAAAATTAGATTAATTTTTTTAATGTATCTTTTTTTATAAAAAATAATTTTAATTTTTTTATCTTGTTCGAGATGTCCCTTTTGCTTTGCACTTAATGGTCAATCTCTTCGAGAAAACTTTTGAAGTTTTGGTATCTTTAAAACTCATATTTCACCTGTTTTAAAAACATAGATTTTAATATAATCAGATGAGACTATAAAAAGTAATTTAGATGAATGCTCAAATTAATTTCAAATTTTCAATTATAAACTCCCGTGATAGAAAAATATATTACAAAATGTAAACATGACTTACTATGATATTGATAAGAAGAACATAACGATTTTGTTAACACACGCTTACAACATCAACAATAAAATACTAATATTCTCGTACAAAATAAACGTATTACATTTTCTTAGGCATTTTGAAACGTGCTATGTCTTTGATTAGCATAGACATGTTGTTGTAAGATGATCCACCTTCTTCGATTGTTTTCCTTGCCATGGCTGCATAATTTCTAGCTGTTTCCCTGATCACTTCTTTCTCTTTGCCTTCACCCATTACCTTCTCGATAGAATCTGCAATTTTCTCTCTCCTCACCTGAACTCGAGCCTTATCTTCCTCTCCTAAGTGCACAACAGATTCAGCTCCCAAACTCACCCCGTTCCCCACCACTTGTACAACAACCTTCTCATTAAGAAACTGCTCAGAAAACAGAGGAAATGTCACCAGAGGAACCCCAGCACAAATCCCTTCCAGCGTGGAATTCCACCCACAATGTGTCAAGAACGCTCCTATTGCTCTATGTGACAATATCAACACTTGGGGCACCCAACCCTTTATCAAAATCCCTCTCCCTTTCACCCTTTCTTCAAACCCATCTTCCAAAAGCCACTTCTCTATTTCCTCTCTTCCATATGCACCTCTAAGCACCCAAATGAATGGTCTCTTTGTTGCTTCCAATCCTAGCCCCAATTCTATCAATTGCTCAGGAATTACACGATTTAAGCTACCGAGGCACACATAAATCACAGACCTTGCAGGCCACGAATCAAGCCACTTCACATACTTACTCTCATCACTTGAGTTTCTCTTACTTCTCGAACCCTTCTCGATGTCATCCTTATTGCACAGCGACACAGGCCCAACACACCATACCTTATGCTCCGTCAGCCTCTCATACTCTTCAAGATACTTTGGTTCCAACTCTTCAAAACTATTAACCACTATCCCATATGCTTTTTTTGCAGCTTCCCTTGTCGCCTCACGACAAGCTTGCAACTTGAGGTCCGTGCCAGGTTGCAATATCCCGGGAAGTTGAGATCTTCGAAGTTCGATTCTGTCGGGCATTCCTGGTACGAGAAACTTCTCATTATAAGACACATCTTCATGGACCTTGTCCTTCTGTAAAATGTGGCAGCATAGGAGAAAGAAACAATTACGCCCGTTGAATATTATTCTAGGGACATGCAACTTGTCAACAACATCAGCCATACACGTGAAACTTTGATCGGCAATTATGCAGCTTGGAAAGGGGCTTTGGTTTTGAAGAAGCTCTTCTATTGGGCGCTGCAACAAGTCCATAGCGACGGTGAATTTAGACAGGAGATCCATTGAAAGAAGAGTGTCTGCGCTCTCACAACCCTCTGGTAATCCAGCCTCAGCCCATGGAAACTGAACATGAAGAATCTGGATGGGTGAGCCAGAGTGGATCTCTCTGTCTATGCTAGCTTGGAAGTGGATGGAATTGAGAGGTGTGGTGACTATGCTCACCTTCACTTTGCGTCGAGCGAACATTTTGGCCATGTCCACCATGGGTAGAAGATGACTCGAGGACATTATTGGGATGAACACAAAGTGGAGGTTGCATAGGGGTGTTGAATCCATTTGTTGCAGGTTTCTGTGTTGAAGGAAACAATGAAAAATTATTTGGGTGCTGATATTTTGAGATCCATACTCCCCACTTATATAGCCATGAATAGTAATAAAATAATAAATAATATTTTTATAATCACAAGTTGGGTTGTTGAAAAGATAGTTTAATCATCCGTCATTTTAAAATCATCATTTTTCATATATTTTTATTTGTAGAGGATAGGTTAAGAATCTATCCAAGCATTGAATAATCCAAAATGTTAATAAAATTATAAATCTTAATATAATTAATTATATATTAGTGTCACAACATAGAAGCTTATTTAATGAGTTTGTTTTATTGAACCCTATTTAATGAGTTTGTCTTATTAAGAGCATCACTATTGCGTAAGAACCACCAAGTGTGACTACGTTATATTTAAGTAATTTGTTTCAAATTTTTTTCAAATTCATTTTAATCATGACTTTTTATAAATAATTCATCATTTAACTATATTTTTATTTTAATAAGATTTGCGGTAAATATTTTTTCTATGATTTGTTGTATTATGTTAGTGAAAGAATTAGACGTGAACTAAAAAAATTAGGAAAAATAATTATTTTTAAATGTGTTTAACTTTTCAAAATGATTGTTATTACGTCCGATTATTCCAATTATAATTTTTTATAAATACCGTTATTTATAAGCAATTGAAGCCATAAATATCTCCAATTAGAATTTCTTTCTTTCAAAACAGAACACTATTAATTTTAAATATTTAAATAATATTTATATTTTTCCTTACTAAATATCATTTTATCCCTCTTTTTCATTATAATATATTATTTATAATATTTATATTTTTGATGTAATTTGATTTCTAAGTTATGGTAGTAAAAGGTTAATTTAAACAGCATATTCTAATGATTCTTAAACATCCATAATTGGACATATTCTTCTAAATGAATTTCGTACATTTATTCATACTTATTTTTTTAAAAAATATAAAAATATTAAGATAAAAATTAATTTAGTTAAAAAATAGAAAAAAGGCTTAAGAAAAAAAAGACGAAAGTAGCATTCACAACTCAATTATAAGAAAAATATTATATATATATATATATATATATATATATATATATATATTACATTGGTTAGTTAAATTCATCAAATAATAATTTTTCGTATTTTTATTTAATATTTTAATTATTTTAGAATATAATTAAAATATTATCCATTTTCTTAATTTATTTTAGTTTTTAAAATTTATTAATAGAACTCCTCATATATTTTTTTTCCATCTTTAACTCCATTTGTTTATTAATACCACAATAAATAAACTTAATTAAAAATTCACAAAATGCAACACATCAAAGTAGGAATTGGAAAAGGCAATCTCGCTGCAAACCCTAATTGCTCCATCATTATTGGCATCGATGAACCAATAAATGCATTGTTGGGCCTAGCCTATCAATTTAAATTTGGGCCTAAAAAATTTGGCTGTTGATTCCTGAAACCATAATTAAATTAAACCTCAATTTATTTTGACTCTCTTATTTTTATTTTTTTAGTGTTTATTTATAATTTTTTTTAATGACTAATTTTTAAGTTTTATTATAACATTTTTTATTATTTTATCTCCTATTCTTCCAAAAATTACAAAAAATAGATAAAAATGTTCAAATTTTTTTTAAATTTTATATAAAATATTTACATGTACAATATTTATGAAACAAATTTTTTGGTTGGAAACATATTACAGCAACTGAAAAAATTAAATAAAAATTTCAAAAATATATGTTCCGAAAAGTGATTTTGGGAATATATTCTGGAATTAATTTTGTGAGAATGCATTTTAGATCCATCAACTAGAATGCAATTCTAGAAATATAATTCGGAACACATCTTCTGCAATATATTTTTTAAATTAATTTTATGGAAATACATTTCAAAAATTGAGTTCTAAAATATATTTATGAAATTAATTTTTCGAAAATACATAATCAATTTTAGAATGAACTTTCTAGAATATATTTTTGAAATTGATTTTTTGGAAATGCATTCGAAATCTATTTTTTTAGAATTGATTTTCAAAAATTAACCTAGAATACATTTTTAGATTGTTCATTCAGGAAGTGTATTCCGAATCTACTGAGTATATTTTTAAAAAATCAATTTCAAAAATATATTTCGAAATGCATTTTCTAAAATATATTTCTAAAATTAATTTTTTAAAAATATATCTTGGATCCACTGTTCATAATTCAACCTCGTCTACGTGGTATTATTTCATATTAAGTAATTTGAATGCACAAATATACAATTTATATATATATATATATATATATATATATATATATATATATATATATATTATTAAGGATTACTTATCTTTAATTTTTAGAAAATGCCTTTATAAAAATATAATAAAAAAATCAAATAGCCCAAAAAGATAGAGATGTACGAAGTTATATACAAAATAAAATAAAAGAAGAAGAAATTAGGATAAAAAATAAAACTAAGAAACTAATATTTCAGATATGAAGTTAGAGAGAGATTACGAGGTATTGGAAGCAAGAGCCTTTCAAATTACAATATCTTTGGGTTTGGTTCCAGTGTGAATTAAAAAAGATTTTTGCTTTCATTCAATCTCAACTCTTGCTTTTTTTAATTATTAGGTGTTTTAAGTTACATTATAGACAATGATGAAATTGTAAACATTGCCTACACATGCATATTTAATTTCACTAGTTATATTCTTATTCTATCTTGATCAATGTATTCAACTAAATAATATATTATTAATAAATAATAAATAAATATAAAAGAAAGGAAAAAATAAAAGGGCAGAAGGATAAAATTGTAGATATATATTTAAATATATTAAATGATCATAAAGTTTGAGAGGAACAAAATCATAAATTATCTAAGAGTTACAAAATTGAAGAGGTCTTGAGATGATAAAATTGTAAATATACAAGTAAATATATTAAATATTCATTAAGTTGAGGTCAACATTATAAATTACATCGAAATTACAAAACTTTGGGGCTATTGCCCTCTCAACTCGAAAAAGATATGTCAAATATATATATATATATATATATATATATATATATATATATATATATATATATATAATTTAGATATATTTTTAATTAAATTATTTACATAATTTAAGAAGATACATTAAATAATTGAGCTTATATGAAAAAATTATAAATTATTTTAGAATTTAAAGAGTAATAAATACGACAGAAATTTACCAATAACTACTTTAAAACACTTATGATTTGGTTTCTTTAAAAGTCACTAAAAATTATCCATAACAATCATTAAATCAGGTAAAAATTAATGAAAATCATTTTAATTTTAGTTACAATAAAAATAGTTAAATTTTAAAAAATACATATGTTAAAGTTTTTTGTTCATAAATGTTTTTTTTATAAAATAATTACTTAATTCTAATTTTTCATTATACATGGGGAAAAATCATAAAATTAATATTATATCCTATTTTAATAATAATAATTATTTTTATTTTTATCAAAATAAATACAATGAATATATCAAATAAATTAAAAATGTTTATGCTAATTAATCTTAATTATTTTAAGAGTTTTTAGATGACACCACATCAATTTTGCGTATGCTGGCTCTTTCACTGAAATTAATTTTGTTTTGATAGTTTTATATTCCATACATTGGAAGAAGAGTTTTTAATGATGGGAAATTGGACCTTTTTGCTTGAAATCCCGCCATGCGTGAACTTTAAAGAATTGTCAATAAGAAAATATTTCATCATTTAGTCATTATCTTGTGCTTGCTTATTGTTTCACGATTAAGGCTTTCAAAATGGGATATTGCACCATCAAGACACATTAAAATACTGTTTGCTAATAAAAAATGAACCATGTAGCTGTTCTGATGTAGATTTCAAGGAAGAGTTTATATTGTTTTTTTTTCTTTCAATATCATTTCATTTATTTATTTATTTAAAATATAATTTTTTAATAGTATTATATTAAAAGATTATATTAAAGAATATTTTTAATAATATAATATTTATAATAAATATATTTATTTTAAAAAAATTAGATATAATTTTGTTTTTTACAAAAATTTAAATTTAAGAAGTTTAGTTTTTATAATTACAATATTTTTTTATTAAATAATATATTTTCATCTTTTAAAGATTTATTTATTTTTGTTAAAGTCAGTTAGTTAATAGTTATTAAGGATTACTACCTAAAGTAATAATAGTTCATTTTCGTTTAGTTAGGTTTTTTTTTTAAATAGGGTTCTCGCTGAATTTATATAAGGAGTTTTCTTCTCTTTTTGTAAAATAAGTCAACACATAATAAATAATACATAGATAGTTTTGGATTACCTGCTTAATCGTGTCTTGGAGGGTTGTATCGCTTGCATCTTCTACTACAAGCTTTCTTCCTCTTTTATGATGTTGGAGTTTTGTTCTCTCTCTCGAAGCCTATGTAGCTTGGTTTCTTCCTTGCATTTTTAGCACACCCTTTGTCTCTTTCTCCATCTTTAAAGTTGTGGGTCCCTCATCATGGTATCAAGAGCAATTCTCCACTTCTACTACAACCTACTCTGATCATCTTCATCAATCTTGCTGATCTTCTTGGTCACTGACCCAATGGAGATTTCAACCAGCACCAACACTACATGAAACAACAACTTGAATCAATCTTTAAATCCCTCTAGCCCTTTTTACCTTCATCCTGGAGAAAACTAAGGTCTTGGTATTAATTTCTCAAACTTTAAATGAATCTAACTATCCAGATCTTGTATAAACTCAGGTCTTGTATTAAACTCAGGTATTGTATTAACTTATCCAGATCACCTGCAAAATCTGAATCAACATAGCCTCTGACAACTAGTTCTGATCCTCCATAACATAATGCAACACATGAGGTTCCTTTGATGTATCTAAGGCAGGATTTCTCATGAATCTATTAACTACTCTCACTGCTTGTGCAATGTATGGTCTTGTACAAATCATGGCATACAT